GAATATTTTTCTTTTATTTTTATACAGGATTAGCCCCCAGGCACAGGTCTCTACATAGGAGGAAAAATATAATAATAGTAATATGTAATTGTGTGTTGTGTGTGTGTGTGTGTGTGTTGTGTGTGTGTGTGTGTGTGTGTGTGTGTGTGTGTGTGTGTGTGTGTGTGTGTGTGTGTGTGTGTGTGTGTGTGTGTGTGTGTGTGTGTGTGTGTGTGTGTGTGTGTGTGTGTGTGTAATATGTGTGTAAAAAGAACCATAAAGAAATACAAAATAAAAATAAAAGATCAAGAGTGAGAAACAATATATGTATGGTATGTTGTCAATGGTAGAAAAAACATTTTTTGTTTTTGGGGGCACCTACATCCTGTGTAGGTGAAGCAGTTTACAGTGCCCAACAGGGAAGCATGCTAGTTCATGCTTGCCATGTCTCATGAGTCAAGGGCATAGAAGCCTGAAGGAGTCAATGGTTTGTGTCATCAAGTTATTGGAAGCTCCAACAACTTGTCCCTGAATCTAATTCGCAACTCTGGACTTACAACAGGTACCTACTTTACTGCTTGGTGAACACGGACTAATGGGAGCTAGGAAGTGTGTCCAAACAACTTCCACCGGCCCGGGAATCGAACCCGTGACATCTCGCTTGCGGAGGCAAGAGCGGTACCACTCTACCACCAGCACCCAGAAAAACAATGAGAGACCCTGCAATTGTGTGTAAATGAGGCAGAAAGTCAGATCAGCAACCTGGGACTTGGTCATACCGTGATGCCATATGGCAGCAGGGTCTACCAATAGACAACATTATGTTTCTCTTCCCAGGAGGGTAGGAAAGTCTTCGAGGTAGTAGATAATGACGAAATTACGATGTTATTTACTGCTAGACTTTAGCAAAACATTGACAGAGTAATGCATCAGGCTTCTGAGAAAATTAAGGCTCATGGTATCGAGAAAGTTTTCGTGGATAAAATCATGGGTCACCGATAGAACGCAGAGGGTTAGCGTAGATGGTGTGTAAATTTGAGTGGGGTCGTGTAACAGTGGGGTTCCCCGGGGTCAGTACTAGGCCCTCTTGTTCATAATCTACATAAACGATCTGGATACTGGGATCAGCAGCGACATAAGCAAGTTTGCGGATGACACCAAAATAGGGCGGCAGATTAATTCAGGGCAGGATGCAAATGCAATACAGGAGGATCTAAATAAACTGCAGGGGTGGTCTGAAAAATGGCAAATGAAATTCAACACCAGCAAGTGCAGCGTACTAATATTGGAAGAACAAATACTGTCAATGTGTACAGCCTTAACAACATCAACCTAGAAAGTCGACTTGTGAAAGACTAGGGTACTTGTAAGCCCAGACCTACGGCCTAGAAAACAGTGCGTTAATGTTCGAAATAAGGCAAAAAGAGTATAGGTTTTATATCCAGAAGTGTAAGTAATAAGAGTGCAGAGATCTTATGCAACTATATCTTGCGCTAGTCAGCCGCACCTCGATTATGCGGTTCAGTTCTGGTGCTTATTATAGAATGGATATCAATTCACTAGAGTCGGTGCAGCGAGAATGACGAAAATGGTTCCGGACTTAGAAACCTTTCATATCAGAATAGGTTAAAGAAACTAAACAGCATTCCCTAGAAAGACGAAGTGCGGGAGATATGATAGAAGTATTCAAGTGGGTGAAAGGAATCAATAAAGGTGATATAGATAAAGTTTTTATAATATCAGAGCAGGATAGGACTCGGAACAACGGATTCAAGTTGGGTAGTTTAGGTTTAGGAGAGAGATAGGAAGGAACGGTTTACAAATAGGGTGGTGGACAGAGGTGGAACAAGCTTAGCAACCTTGTAGTAAGTGCTGGAACGCTGGAAAAGTTTCAAGGGAGGCTGGATAGATTCATGGATGATAGAGAGTGGTAGTAACTCTCGACAGGAGCTGCCATGCAGGCCAACCGGCCTATTGCAGACTCCTATTTTCTTATGTTCTTATGTTCTTATGTTTGGTAGCTGCCTACTACCTGGATGCATACCAGAGAGAACAATGCTAAATATCCCCGAGCAAAATATTCTGGCTGTTAATTGATGATGGTCTTGTCTGTAAAGTATTGTAGATCTCTGAAGTAATGCAAAGTAAGTAAATAAAACTAGACGATTGAAAACTTTTGGGAACTTAGTAAAATGAACCATAAGTGATATTTCTATATTTCTTACTATCGAGGAAACAAAAATATGCGTACAAGTTATTTCATATTCCATTACACACGAAGCGCGGAACAAAATTATAATGAAAGTTAAACAATATCAGAGAAAATGTAGAACACACACACACATACAAACACACCTAGAAAAAGTGCAAAAGAGGGCATGCAATATTATTCTCTCCCCTTCCTACTCCACATATCAAGAAGCGCTCAACACACTGACCCTTTCGACTCTCACTGACCATCACCACGACCTCATCTGCAAATTTGGTAAGAAGCTTCTACACCATCCCCGACACCGGCTCCTACTACCACCTGAGATCCCCTGTCCGAGAATTGCTGTTCGACACAACAACCGCATCCAGCCCATACGTGCACGAACTGATCGCTATAAGAACAGCCCAGTCCCAACCATTGTAAAAATTATCAATAACATGTAATAAATCAGTGTATTCACTCCCAGTAAACACTGCTCCTTACACTGTCACTATGTTGAAATGAACTGTAGTTTGAGCTGATCCCCATCTAAGTTATTATTTGTCTTATTTGTGTCACTTATGTTACTTGTATATTATTTGTAATTCGTAACCCATTCCCCAAATATGTAACTGTATATTTTCAGCCTTCTGGCTGCCAAGCTCTTTCAATAAACCGTTAATTATTATTATTATTATTTATTATTACATACACACACACACACACACACATACACACACACTACTGCCTCCTGGATGCCCATTCTCCTCACTTCTTGTGTATCCTTCACCTCCTCGATGTCACCTTCTTGCTCCTGTTACTATCCACTTATAAATAATATTATTTCTTAACTCTTTAGCTTTAGAATATCATATAATTTACACACTCGCGGAAAAGAGCACACATAGCTGCAAGCCTCACACCTGAGCCTTGACGGCGTATCTCCCTGTGGTAGAGTAGACAGTGAGATAGCGGGAGTAGACACCATCTCCTGCCTGGTTGTCTGCTGCTTGTCCATTATCCAGCAGCTCTAACTCAGTGGCTCGGGCTGTTGTGTCTGGTTGACTCACATATGCCCTGTAAACATGTTCATACAGTGATGATAGCATCGTCTAAAACTCTAAACAATATATAGTTAATGTTAATAACGTCGTCTTCTAAACAATGTTTAGTTTCGCCTATTTTCACTTCCTTAAGACATACCGCAACTGTTAGAAGTTGATTGGTTGTTGGTTACTACGTGGTTCAACCAGCAACCAATCACTTCCAATAACTTTGGCGTTCGCTAATAACTTAAAAAGTGGGTGAAGAAGCTTAGTGTATAGGTCAATTATCATTACAATTATAAGAACTTCATTGGGAATTGGTCTATCTTGCCAGCAACACCTGTACTAAGCTAACCTAACACGGGCGCCGACGACGGGGTTATTTCCTTGCTTCACCTCAGCGTAGATAATGATGGGATTGGCGGAGGCGTCCACGTCGCCTGCCCCGGCGCTCATCTGTCAAACAAACAAATACAGATAAGATATGAGACACTAAATCTTTGTAAAGGAGCAAAGAAACGTGAGTGGCTAAGTTTTGTAAGGAAGAAAAGCGTAACGCAACTTACCCAGGCCCGGGAGTAGATCGGCATACTGGTAGGCTCCCTGGCTTGTGCTGTCACGCTTACACGAACGTGGTTGTTGACATTCCCAGACAAACCGACACTCCATTTCCACCTCCCTGTCTGTAGTAGCAGAAAGAGTTACCTACTTGTCTCTCTGAGTGAGGCACTGTATTGTACATAGAGCTTATTTGCAAGGACCTAAGGTACTAGATGTACATATAGTGAAGAAGAATAAGCCATGAATAAGATAGTTCAATTAGCGCTTAGCCCATTGAACGAGGCATGTACATGAATAATAAATTGCTCCTGCCACACACACACACAGACACACACACAGACACAGACACAGACACACACACACACATACTGTAAGCTCATAAGCATTCAAAATATATACACAAAACGTGATAAAACCAGCCAGGAAAGGGGAGACACTGGAATACCTTAGCTTTCGTCTCTGTTCAAAATATTTTCAGAGGCAACTGAATTTACAAGGACTAAGAGTGCTTATAAACAATGGGTGACCTTACATAGCATCAATTCAGATCAATAAATAAATAAATAATGTTGCGGAATATCTCACTACTGGTTATTGGGTTTTTTTATTTATAGTGGATGGTAATGCAGTGGAAGCGCCCCTTAGAGAAAATCCCGAACCAGCACAAACACAATTAATAAAAGTATTCTCTGTGACCGTGGAAAGCTAATACCTGTGAATGGGGTTAATGAGACGCACTTCTAGTCCTTTCAACAATACAGACGGAATCAATTATTGTACACAAGCACTAGAGTACTTCTTAGCGTAACTTACAACACTACAATGGGAAACAAAAGTTATACATGGTATCAAAAAAATTATTAAAAGTTATTAATTGCATCTGAAAAGACTACTAATGCAGCAGTACTACATACACCACAACAGACACCAGAACGAGGAACTCATCTGAAACAATTATGATTTTAAACTGGTCAGTTTTGATGTAACATCACTCTTTACAAAGGTCCCAGTTGATGATTTACTGGAGTTCCTCACTGATTCCCTGGGGAATATTTCATTGCCCGTCTCGAAAGATGGCTTCATCGAACTCATCAAACTATGTATTAAGGATTGTAAATTTGAATTCAATGGAGAATATTATGCTAAAAATTTGAATTCAAATGTACAATCCTTAATACATAGTTTGATGAGTTTGATGAAGTCTCTCTTTCGAGACGGGCAATGAAATATTATCCAGGGAATCTCCTTTGTCTGTACTCACTCCAGAGATGTGAATTACACGAAAGCGTTTGGGATCTTCGTGTTTTCTTGTTTCCTTGTGGTTATCAGCATATATATATATATATATATATATATATATATATATATATATATATATATATATATATATATATATATATATATATATATATATATATATATATATATATATATTTCATGTAAATCCACAATGAAAACGTGGATAAGATAAATCTTGATAAAATCACACGGGAAAATGGAAACAACGGAGCACCTTAGCTTTCGTCTTTATTCAAGACATCTTCAGAGGCAACTGGACTACATGGACAGAGAGAGGCTTAAATATACAGGGTGACCTTAAAAACATGAGGTCAGGTCATAATGATGTCATCCACTAATCCCCACACCAACACACACGTAGAGGAGCTTAAGAGAAGGGGGTTGACGTGACTAGTCAGGTCAGGTCAAAAATAAGGGACCCACAAAATAACTATCATACATCTAGATCAAAGGTTTTCAAAGCATTTTTAACCTTGGGCCACTGACAAATAAATTTATGTAACATATTATCAGTTTTGAACTGACCATCACTTAGGTTTATTGATTTTAATTCCTTAATCAAACTAGCTTCAACCAGAAGTCTTTCTGTGACACAAGATGATTTAAATACTTCTAAGCTTTTTTCCCAAGCAATGGGGTGATTATTATTCCTAACATGAACGAACAGGGCACTGCTTTCAGATGCAGTTCTGATATTATACTTATGTTGTTTGATTCTAAGCTGCAGTGTTTTTCCTGTTTGTCCTACAAAATTACAATTACATTTGCTACATGGAATACAATAAACACTTCCATTTACATTCAAACTTGGGCTATTCCTTATTAACATATTGGTAATGGTTGAGTCATACTTGAAAACAACATTAATATTTAGAAGCTTGAGGGACCGAACTAACGGGACAAATTCATTACGATAGGGCAGAGTAAAAATATTCTTAAGTGTAGGAACATGTCTTGAATAAAGACGAAAGCGAAGGTGCTCCGTTGTTTCCATTTTCCCGTGTGATTTTATCAATATATATATATATATATATATATATTGTTACGAACCCCTCCACCCAGAGCTACGAACCACGCCATCTATTGTCCTGATCTACCTACCCAGCACCACGAGCAACGCCATCTAGGGACGAGACACGAGTATGACTCGTCTTAGTTACCACTCCGGGGTTTCTCTTCTCCATATCCTGGTTGTTGCGTCACCTCCTCAAAGTCTTCTTTGTCAGCTCCAATTCGAGGAGAGACACTTGGCTCTGGGAAGTGACCACAGGATCATCTATCCTCTAAACCTACGTGCAGTGACTACCTACCGTCTTCTACAATACTCAGCCTTACTCGTCAGCCATCTCAGCTCCTCACTTAAGTACTTTTATCTTGTATTGCCTCCCCCACGTCCACTTGCTTCAAAATGGTTTATGTTGTATTAATATGTATATACTGTTAATGTTTAGGTTAAGTTTGGTTAAGGGTAATTTATAAGCTGAATATTTTGTTAAGGATTTATGGTACTTTATTATACACAACGAAAACTCGCATCCTTTGTCTACCCTTTTATAGTCCGATTGTCTTTGTTTTTTTTTATGTTGTTACCTGTTGGGATCTGGGTAGACGTATAACTATATTCTAAATCCCCAACTCGTAACAAATGGCGACCGTGACAGGACACGACCTTAAGTACCATATTCCTTCCTCCCTTGTTACTCAGTGTTAATTATTCCTCCCAGTCACTTCTGTTCTCAATTGCTTTACGGTAGTTTAAAGTTTCCTTCATATGTGTGTGCATATATTGGTATTATCGTATAGTAAGAGTGACAGACGTAGGATATTAGGTTCCAAGTGTCATAAGGCTTACCTGTTATTACACGTGGCAGTTGTGTAGTAAGTCTTATCGAGTGTTGGGAAGAATCCGGATCTGTTTAATGCCGTACCCTCACTCCAGAGTAGGCTGTTCCATAGTCACTAGTTTAGGGTGAAGTGATATCTTGGGACGCCCCGCTCTACCAGGACCCCATAATTATAAAGCCTCATTATTGTTCTTCTCATATCTCATTCGGGGTCAATCATACCATTTATCAGGGTTGTTAATCCGGATCTTTATATTAATGCCGTAATACGCCCTTCCTCTTAAAGTATCTCAGGGTTGTTAATCCGGATCTTTATATTAACGCCGTAATACGCCCTTCCTCTTTAAAGTATCTCGGGGTTGTTAATCCGGATCTTTATATAAAATGCCGTAATACGCCCTTCCTCTTTAAAGTATCTAAGGGTTGTTAATCCGGATCTTTATATTAATGCCGTAATCGCCCTTCCTCTTTAAAGTATCTCAGGGTTGTTAATCCGGATCTTTATATTAATGCCGTAATACGCCCTTCCTCTTTCAAGTATCTCAGGGTTGTTAATCCGGATCTTTATATTAATGCCGTAATACGCCCTTCCTCTTTCAAGTATCTAAGGGTTGTTAATCCGGATCTTTATATTAATCCCGTAATACGCCTTCCTCTTTTACTCAGGGTTGTTAATCCGGATCTTTATATAAATGCCGTAATACGCCCTTCCTCTTTCAAGTATCTTATCCTTATCTAAGGATCTTCTCGGAAGAACAATAATCATAAGTGTAATTTCCCTAGGTATAACTTGGGTAGTTTCCGGGACTTTCTGGTTATCCACTGCCGTGATATTTTCTAGGGTAATCCACTTATATTTTGACCATTAATTAATTTATCTAGGTTTTCTTAATGGCCACCTCAGGATTTGTTAAACTTGGTAGTCCTGGAGAAGTGGAAGAGCAAGATACCATTTCACATCTTGAAGCATGTGGAGGAGCGTGGAGAGGTTAATTTGGGACGTGCCCCTGAGCTGGCTGATGAGTACGCCTTGCTGGTGGAGTCACTGTGCCGTGGGGAACGTGGTACTTCCCGTCATGTTAGGTCCTCCTCTGATGATAACCTTGAGGACGTGAGTGGTAGGTCGAAAGGTCCCACACCTACCCCCCCCTGATGCAACCAAGTTTTATTGTTCTTACTGTAAAAACCCAGGCCATACGATCCAGACTTGTAAACACCCAAAGTGTCGAATTGCTAAAAGTAGTTCCCTGGATCCCAAATCCAAACCAATAGCAAATACCAATGTGGAAAGGCCCCATCAGGATCTCTTCTCTTCATTTACCTATGAGGGAAAAATTTCAATCATAGAGGGGTCTCGTTCTTTCCCTATTCGTATACTACGTGATACGGGCGCAGCACAATCTATCCTCCTGTTTAACGTCATTCCTGATATATCTACCGCATTTACTAATGAGTGTTCTAATTTCAGATCTCTCATCCCATTCTCGCTATCCTTTAGCTAAAGTGCACCTCCAATGTCCCTTGATTACTGGGGAAGTGCAAATAGCCATTAGGAAAGACCCAATGCCTGTGTGCGGCATTCATTTATTATTGGGCAATGACTTGGTAGGAGATCTAGTGGTTCCCAACATAAAGACAGTCGACTCTCCCTTACCTGTCAACTCCACCACTGACCTTAAAGAAACTATTCCTCATCTTTTCCCATCTTGTGCTGTCACCCGTCACAGAGTGCGAAATGGCCCTCTTATCTAAAAACCACTTCAATATCTTATTACCCACAGAAGATCTGCAGGCTAATAAGACCATTAGGTAAGGATGAGCCTATTATGTTCAACAATCTGATCCATCTTTTGTTCAATCCAGGTGATCATCTCCTTCTGCGCGCCTGCGCTACGGAGGTCTTTGAGGGGGGAAGATGAACCTCCACCCAGAAAGCATGAACCACGCCGATACGATACGATACGAAGTCTTTAGTTAAGAGGTGAAAGAAGATTATTAGGAG